AGATGAAATTTATGAGAAAATTACCATAAAACATCATCCTAGTTATTATGATCTGAAATATTCTCTGATAGTAAAATATCAGAAGGATCTGAGGGATAACAATGATGAAATATGGTCATCAGCCGACGCAGAAGACATCGTCGGATATACTTGGGATCAATACTATTCAACGGATAAAGATGCCCAAAACGCGTTGATATATTTAAAACAACACAGTCAACCAACTGAAGGATTGACGTCAGAGGGGCCTGCAGCAACTCAACAAATCAGACTTCCAAAAATAGTTTTGCCAACATTTGATGGAGACTATTTGAAATGGATTGAATTTAGAGATTTGTTTCAACAATTGATCCATGATCAATCAATAAGCGCAGCCCACAAAATGTTCCATCTATCTACAAATTTGGCGGGTGAGCCGAAAGCCCTCATACGGCATCTGCCAATTTCCGAGCAAAATTACAATATAGCTTGGGATATTCTATCAAATCGGTATGACAACAAACGACTCTTGGTGACAGCATTACTAAATAAATTGTTATCACAACCAAATATAACAATTGAATCAGCAAGCAGTCTTAAGGGCATACATGATGTTACAAAAGAATGTTATTATGGATTAGCAGCTCAAGGTATTGATGTTAAATCTTGGGACGCCAAAATGGTTCACGTAATTAAAGCTTCACATACAGCGTTCTAGCAATCGTTAGAAGACAGCCGGTAGGTTAAATTGGAACCTGTTTGCAACATGACGAAGCGCAGTGCAATCTCAGATTTAGCAAGGCTATTTGATCCACTAGGACTTTTGTCACCAGTTGTGGTGATGGCAAAGATCTTTATTTAAGAATTATGGAATTTGAAGATGGATTGGGATAAAAAACTGCCGACTGAATTACATAAACAGTGGTTAGAGTTCCGGAACAATTTGACAAAAGTAAATTGCCTGCAGATATCTCGTCATATTTTCAAGGGCGAAGTTCCTGCCAACATTCAATTACACTTCTTTACAGATGCATCAGAAAAGGCATATGGCGCTGCAGCGTATTTGCGATCAACACTTCAGAATGGTCAAATCATTGTACGACTATTGTGCGCCAAATCTCGGGTTGCACCGTTGAAAAGGTTGACATTACTTCGTCTCGAACTTTGTGCAGCTGTGGTTGGCGCAGAACTAGCAACAAGAATAAAGAACGACCTACAAATAAGAAATTACCAGACGTTCTTTTGGTGTGATTCACAAATAGTGATATCATGGATTTCCTGTAACATTTCTTACCTGCGCAAAGTATTTTTCCAACTGTAGCAAAATAACACTTCACCGAAAAAGGTCGGCTAGTATGAAACTAATTAACTTTTTAATTCACCTATATAAGAAAAAAGTTTATTATGTTAAAATTCATAATTTAAAAACAGAAATGATGCGGAACTAATTTAAAATGTTTTGTTTTATGTATACATTTATTTTAGAAATAAAAAGTAAAAGTTTTTGTATCGTTTTCCTTCGAAAATTGATTTCATGGTACTTTGGTGCGTATGAGTAACGTAAAGGACACCTGATCAATTAATTTTTTTTAATGACTTCTAAAATGAATATCACAGTGGAAATATTTATTTTTGAAGTAGAATTTATATATTAATTTGAATCAGAAATAAAAAAAAAATTTGTGTGACATATTCCTTTTTTTTTTTTTACTGAAAAATCGTGTGTATGTGTTTGGTGTGATATGAAGGATAAATAAATTTTTAAAAGTACTTCTAATTACAATATCGTCCTGAAATTTTTGGGTTTTATGTAGAATTTTATTATTAATCGAAATCAAAAATATTATATAAGAATATATGTAGTGTATTCTTTGAAAATATATTCAATGAAAATGTAGTACGCATGCGCTTGATATGTTTTGCTGGAGAAAAAAAAATATTAAAATATTTCAAAAAATAACGGTTTCCTGAAAATTTTTATTTCGTAGTAAAATTTAAAACTGAATCTAAATAAAATATAAAAAACGAATATTTAAAAACTAGTTTTGAGAAAAAATTTTTTTTTAAATTTAACGGTTAATATTAGTACTTAAATATTAACAATTTTAATTGTTTAAACAATTTTATAAAAGTTCAATCAATTATCTTTAAAACGCTATAAATTTCTACCTATTATAGAACTTGAGATATAGCCATTTGAAAATGTGTCTACTATGCCAATTCTCAAAACCCCACAAAATTTTTTCCCGAGATACGGGTCTTCTTATTTTATGAAAGGAGCTCATAAAAAAAATTTCAGCCAAATCGGAGATCATGAGATCATTTTTTACCAAAATCCGTCCGGTTTGTAAAAGAATGACCCATATGCAAAAATAGAAAGTGAAAGACTTCTCTATATACGACTAAATCAAGTCAAATTGCGTACTGAAGAGTACATCCATTTACGTGATGCAGTTGTAAATGATGGCAATCTCAGTGACTTAGGGAAAATAGTCATTGTTGAGAATTCGCCTACATTTGAACACCCACCAAAATTGCCTGCACTGAACAAGCCCACAAGCTGTCATGTGTGATGACGCCAGTTTTTTGCCGAAAGCCAAAAGGAGCACACGCGGTATACAGCCGTAAAACAATGCGGTTTTTTAGATACACATTTATAAAAGTCAATGCGGTTTTAGATAAACATTTATAAACAATCAAACAATGTAAATAACAGTTATTGTATAATAAAATATATATATAAAATATTTAACACATAAATGTACAAGAAATTAAAACTTAACAGTCATTTTACCATCTACATTCACAGGCAGTCTGCACGTGTATTTAAATAAAAATTAAAACCTTTAATAGATTTTATTGTCAAACACCATGTATTTGGAGAGACGCACTGTTGTATGTATTCCATTGAATGGCAAAAAAGAGGTTGCACATTTCTTCTGATGCTTCTAATACAGCTCAACCATAGCAGATACGTACACTATTTCCCATCATACTAACTACATGTTTTCCGGCTAATCCAAAGGATCTTTGGGAAAAATATAAAGACTATATGAGTGAAGACATTTTACATCGCATGCGTAGCCAACAAATCACTCACAGAATTGGGAATGATTGTTCCAAATAGATCTGATAATGACATTTTCAATAGTGATATACAACAAGAAACGCACATTGATGTTAATGAATTATAAACATTTGCTCGAATTAATTTGCCGAAATTGGTATTAGGCCAACGAACAGCATACATATGACACAATTATAATGCAATATCTAACAAGAGTTGTGGTTTATATTTCTTAGATACACCTGGAGGTTCTGGCAAAATTTTTCTTATTTTAATTATTCTGGCAACTATAAGGTCACAAAATAATATTGCGCTTGCTATTGCATCATCTGGTATTGCAGCAACTCTTTTGGATGGTGGTCGAACGGCACATTTAGCATTGAAATTGCCATTAAATATGCAAGTAATTGAAACTCCAACATGTAATATTAGCAAATATTGAATGGGAAAAATACTAAGACCATGTCAGCTTATAATAAAAGATGAATGCACCATGGCACACAAGAAATCATTGGAAGCACTCGATCGCACATTAAAAGATTTGAGAGAAAATGAGCAGCTCTTTGGTGGTGCACCCATTTTGTTAGCTGGTGATTTTCTACCAGTTATACCACGTTCAACACCTGCAGATGGATTTAATGCATGTCTCAAATCATTAGTGTTATGGCGGTCTGTGGAGAAAATATTTTTAAAGTACTATATACGTGTTCAATTACAACAAGATGAATCTTCTGAACGATTTTCAAAACAAATGTTTAGATATTGGGAATAGTAAAATGGAAATGGACGAATCCGCACATAGTATTAAATTACCAGAAAACTTTTGTCACATTGTAAAATCCAGTGATGAATTGATTGCCAAAGTTTTTCCAAATTTATCGTAGAATTATAAAAATAATCAATGGGTTAGTGAGCGTGCTATATTGGCAGCCAAAAACATTGTTGTGAATTCAATAAACTGCACAATTCAAAATGAAACACCTGGTGAAGGAACAACATATAAGTCCATAGATACTGTTGTCAATCACGATGAATCAGCTAATTATCCAATAGAATTTTTAAATTCGATGAATCTACCAGTAATGCCATCGCATATTTTGTCTTTGAAAATTGGTTCCCCAATCATCTTCCTACGAAATATAAATCAACCGCAATTATGCCATCAGTAAAAAAATTAATGAATAACATAATTGAGGCAACCATTTTAAAGGGAAAACACCAAGGGGAACATGCACTACTATACGCATTCCCATGATACCAACAGATACTCCATTCGAATTCAAACGTCTATAGTTTCCTGTACGACTAGCCTTTGCAATGACCATTAACAAACAATAGGAACAATCATTGCAAGTATGTGGATTAAATTTGATAAATCCATGCTTCTCACATAAACAGCTGTACGTTGGGTGTTCACGAGTTGGGAAACCATCAAATTTATTTGTTCTTGACCAGATAAGAAAACAAAAAATGTTGTATATTTACAAGCACTACAATAAAAAATATATTGGCAGAATATTTTTTATATCGAGAAGTAATGAACAGATAAGATAAAGTTCACCATCAATACTCTAATAGTTTAATATATCATGAAATCAATTATCTGTTCTTATTGATTTTCTTTTGCAGATTCCATTTCAATTGAAATTCGTTTGCAATATTGTTTAATATCACAAGTGAAGAAACAAGTTTATTCTACCATCAACTATGTATACCTATGTTTTATATGTTATATGCTATGTTATATTTAAATGACATATATGTAGGAATAATTTTATTGTTGATTTTCATTTTGATGTATTGTATACATTTGATCATTAATAAATTATGTTTGATGTATCAAAACTGCCTTTTTGTTCAGATTTTTAATTAACATAGATGCATAACACAGCAACGCATGATCGGGTACAGCTATTGATTATATATTAATATCCTAATAAACTATAGAACATAATAAATTTTTTGTATTCATTTTATTACGTTAATAAATTTCTAAATTTAGTTTACCTGAAATTTAATACAACATTCATTAGCTGTTACGCGATAGGAAGTTCTCCGGGTCAGCTAGTCTTAATTATAAAAATACAAATTTCATATATAAAAACTGATTCGAATTTATAACTTTGTGAGGTGACTTTAAATAATTTAATTCAGTAACATAAATTTATTAAATTTAATTCATGTAAGGTAAACATGCTTAAGATTTGTTTCGACGTATAAATGCATAATTCATCGCATATTTCACTAATTACAAATATATAAAAGTAATTATATTCGTATAAGAACCTACATAACTTATTTTAAATATTTACATATTTATCTAAAATTTTTATATTTTTATGGTACTTTAATAGGTAAAAATAATCGCGGGTCACCAATTTTGGGATCTAACTTTACTACGACTTGATCATCACCGTCACCCACTTCTAAAAACGAGTTCCAGTCTGCTAGAAAGTAGAAACCATTTTTCTTTTTAGGCGGTAAAGTTTCTTCTTTATTTGGATCTGGACCAAATGAGTCTTCTAAGTCCGCTAAAGAACTACTTTGAGATTCTTCAGTTGCATTTACAGGGCTGCTTTTAGCTAGTATGTCCTTATTACTTGATAGAATGACAGCATCCCTATCTGAATCATTAAAGCTAAGACCAAAGTTAAACTTTAAAGGACCCGCTGTAATATCCTTCATATCCTTTATGTTCTTTGTAGAATAGGATTCTACTGTGCCAGCTTGCAGATCGCTTGTTGTATATGTTGATATATCTTCACTTTGCCGACGACTCTTTTTTTGATCGTCATTAATAGGATGAATGTGTTTAAATTCCTCCAAATATTTTTCGTCTAACTGCTTGATCATATCTGATGTTATATTGATATTGAGTTTCTTTAGCTCTTGCAAATTATTGACTAATCGTTGCAATTCGCTTAAATCGGATTTTTTCGATTCTGCTGTTGTACTTTTTTTTTTAATATCTTCGCTTTTTTTAATTTCACGTTCAAATATGTTTTGTTTAATAGAGTCAGATGGTTTTTGCTCTGCTAATAATTCAGTTGATTTTTCCCTAAGTTCATGATTAATGTCAGGTATAGCAATTTGATAGTGCATATCACTAAATTCTCCTATTAGATCACTGTCTTTAACGGTTGTTTTGTTGTCATAAACATCACTGCGCCTTCGAAAACCTTGAGGATGCTCAGTAGAAACTCCAATTTTATTTGCTGCGAGCTTAATAGCATCTTCAATAATTTTTGTAGCACTAAATATTGGCAACTGCACTGTGCTTTCAGTAGTTGTTTTAGGTAATTTAGGTAGGGGAGATTTCATGGTAGTTAGTGAAAAAACGACCGTTTTCTGTTTCATGCTATCAAGTTCTTCTTTACTCGACATATCTAAATTGAAGTTTTTATGTAAATTTAAAATGTTGGTAGCTGTTTTGTTATCAGAATATATGTATATTGGTAACTTTTGAAAGATTGTTTCACGAGAATTACTTTCTATTGGTTTGGTTTCTAATTGCTCAGACAATTTTTTAGGCAGTATGATACTAAGATTTTCCAGCCTTTGAGCATTGTTTAGGAGTTTTTGTAACGCCTCTGAGTTGTCTTGTTTTATGTTCGAGGTTTTTATTTTATCATACTCCTCACGTTTGGGTATGGAAATAAACTTTGGTACCTCTTTTGTTGCTGTTTTATCGGCCGTAGAAGAATATATGTACTTATTTGACTCTGTTTCAGCATCCATAGGATGAGTATACTTAGATTTGTCTGGATTTGATAATGAGACATGATCTAATTCATCAATTTTTTCATTGGTTGTTTGTTTCCAAACTAAACTTGTATTTTGTACAATATTTGGTTCAAATGTTGTCACTTCATGGTTTGACAAGTTTAATTTCAAATTTTCTAAATCTGCTTCTTTAAAGAGTAAATCTTCTAAGTATTTATAACTGTTTAGATTTTCGGGATAAACGGTATGACTATTACTGATTTTTGTAGCATTTATAGATGATGTAGAAGCGACTGTTAGCATATTTGATACAAGGTTTGCATCTCGCTGAGATTTTGTTCTAATAGGAGTTGGAATTACTTCAGCTTCAGAACCATCTGTTTTAAGCTTCACGCGTTCTAATTCTTGTACTTTGCTAAGTAGCTTTTGTAGTTGGATGAATTCATTTGGGTCTACTTTTTGTAAGCTACTTCCAGATTCAGTTTCATTGTTTTCATTTGGTGTTTTTAGTTCTTCAAGAAACCCGGATGCAGTCAATGCTGTAGGGATTTCTGCTTTATCGAGCGGTGCTTGATCTTCATAATGAGTTTGTTTGTAAAGCTGTTGAAGTTGAGCAAAATCATTGATGGGCACATGATAGTCATTAGCTGTTGCCTCTGCTTTAACATTGCGGCTAATAAAATCAAGATGCGGTGGTAATTCTGTGCTCTGGTTTTCATTTGGTTGAATGTTGAAACTTTCTAACTGCTGTATTCTACCAATCAGTTTATGCAGATCATCAGAACTAGAAGCGGCGTTGGGCTTTTGACTCATAAGTATAGAATAGTTATTTCTATCTACACTTGGCATAGGTGTAGTTATTATACTGGGTGGCAAAGTTTTCAAGCTAATAGTACTTGTACTTTGTGCTTCAGTAGTGTAACTTGCCCTATTCAATTCTGCTAAATATTTTTGTAATAGTTGCAAATCGTTTTGGTTGGATGAAATGGGTTTCTTTGTGGGAATGGTGATAGTGGTGGTGGTGGTAGTTTTTGGTGTAGTTCTTAAGCGTACTTGTTCATATAAGCGTTTCAACTCACTTTCATTACTAAGTATTTTTTGTAGTTGTAAAAAATCTGTTGGTGAAAAATTAGCTCGAGTACGCGGTTGTTGTAGTTTTGGTTGAACAGTTGGTTTTTCTATACTCTCAGATTCTGCCACTTCCAAATTTTGGCTTAATTTAGGAGAATGTGTTTGTTGCTGGCTCTGCTGTTCCAAGATGAGGTCATTAAAGCGATTGGTTAAAGTTTGACTTTTAATTGGCAAACTTGTTTGAGTTATGATTGCATCAGATCTATTAAAAAGGTTAACTGTTTTATTTGTAGGTACAACTAATTGAAGAGCATTTTGTGGATTTATTCGAAGTTTCTCTAGTTCTTGTAAATTCTCCAGTAATTTTGCAACCTCGTCAGATTTATTATTGTCAATTTGTCTATTATCGTTTGTATCAATATTAGGATCAATCCTTCGGCGAAGTTTATTTGGTTCATTTAGTGATGATTCTCCATTTATGGTTAATACGTTCGAAAGTCGTGATGTTGCTTGAGTTGAAGTTGGTAATGAAATTGCTGATGTAGTTAAAGTATTTGCATTATTATTTAAACGCTCTAACTCTTGCAAATTTTGTATAAGTTTCTCAAGTTCTGTATTGTCAATTAACGTACTTTTCTTCGACTTGTTGCCTTCTCTGTTTGCTACTTGAGCTACTACTTCCCTTTTTTCACTAGCTTGCTTATCACTGCCACTCACATATGATTTTTTATTCAAATCTTTGAATTGTCGCCCTCCAACAATGCCAAATCTCGTCAGATATCCTTCAACTTCTGGTTTTATTCGAATTTCTTCACCAATGTTAAGTGGCTTAAAATTTAAATAAGCATCTGACCTTATTTTTTGAGTTGCACTTTGATGATTCTTAACAGTAAAACTACTAACGACAGGTTTAGGTGCACTCTCTGCTTGGAAGAAGTCATCAATAAGAGGTTGGTGATAACCATTTTTTTGATCTACAATACCTAAAGTTTTTAGGACTTCAAAAACTGGTTTAACAGTATTAATAAAAGGTTTGGTGTTCATTTGAATTGGAAGTTTTGAAAATTCAATGTCCTTAGCATTGTAATGACTACTGTAACGATGAGTTGACTTCGGTTTTGATATAAGATACTTTGTATTATAATCAGTAGAATTTGTAATTGGTTGAAATGCTGATAAATCGGTTCTTATTGGTGATAGTTTTTTTATTACAGGTTGCGTTGGAGGATGAGACGTACTAGGACTTGCAGTAACAATTACATTTTTTTTTGAATAATTTGGCTTGTAAGTAGTAGCAGCCAAATTTAGTATGCTTGGGATTTCGTTTTTAGTTACAGTATTTGGATCAGGAGTAACGAATTTTATGGGTTGTGGTTGTGCATAGATATTAATAACTTTCGTTACTGGAGGGCGTGTGTATAAATCCTGTTAAAATAAGCAATTGGATACATACATGAAACTTAATATCAGGTGCTTTCAGTTGACACCGAGTGTGGGAAAAAACGGCATGCTGACCCATTGGTGCTAAGCGAGAAATTGGCATCACTGTTACCATGTCATGTTTTCGCAAACAACAAATCTTGCATATGTGTGAAATTTCCAATGAAGATTCACAATAGTTCGCTTATTGCGTTAGAAATACTTGTTTCTTTACTGGCCAAAGTGTTTGACCACTTCACAATTACTTGCTTAAATAGACAAAGTAGTGCTGTTGTTTTGCGTTAATTTAAGCAGCTAGGCCTTGCTGTTTTTTGCCACACTTGCGAGCCACCGAAAGCACCTATAATGAATCTTTAAGTACTTGCAAATTTTCTTTGGTTTTATTATCCGTATTGTAAGGTAACACCAACATTAAGGCACGTACTCCTTCAGCTCGAGTTAAATCACGAACTTTCTTGGTAGTCTCAAAATCCTCGCGTTTTATTTTTTCATAGAGTTCCTGAATTTCACCCCTAAATTAAGGAAAGTATATATTGAAGCATTTGGTTTCTGAAACTGTAACCTATGTTAGTACCTGGTTAAACGAGGTAAGTTACTATCCTGTTCCCACAACTGTCGCACTTCTTCTATAGTTTCGTCCATGAAGGGTGTTTGCAAATCATTATTTAATGATAAGTAATTGGTGTGTTTTAGATCCGGTTGATTGAATATAGGATAGCTATTAAATATCGGGATAAACAGCAAGACCACAAATATATGTAGTATTACGTCAGACTTAAAAATGAAAAACATATTATCTGCAAAAGAACAACACACAATTATTAAAATTTTTATCTGTATTTAAATAAAAATTAAGTGAATGAAATATAAATTAAAATGAGTCTAATTTAATGTTATAATAAACAATAACCAGAATCTTTTCCCATTTAATGAAATCATTTAATATTATTGTTTCGCAATAAATTTAGTCGAACTACAGTTTCCTTTTGGTCACACCAAAACTTTATTCATTTATTTTAAATAACAATTGAAAACAATAAAAATTTACTTAATAAGTACGCGAAGTTTCGTTGTAGAACATAAACCCTTATAGACACTATGGTGAGGAAGATAGCAAGTTGATTCAGCATCATTCAAATATTACACCACTTTCATATGGCCACATGTCTGATATTCGTCCACAAAAGCTTGATATAGCTTATACATTTCTGTATCTCGACTTAATCGTTGTAAATTACTGTTTTGTAATGCCAGTGCATTTAGTTTATTTGACTTAAGAATTGGCAGATTATCCTTCTGCTTTACTGGGAGTCTGACCACATATCGAATAGTGTTGTTACGTACAGTTGTACGTTCAAAGAAGTTCTCACAATACATCTCATCTTTTGTTAACGGAATCTGGGTTCTATGTATGTATGTATATTTATTTTCATTTTAAATTTCATTTTTACAGTATGATTAGTAAATCTTAAATTAATATATAAATAAATATAATTAAAATAGCGACTGCGACACATGTCGTCCGTTGACATCTGGCTTGTTATTTCTTCTAATGCCCAAAATTTACGCAGCGTATTTCTTAGTCACTTCGGTGGTCTTCTGCAGTGTATTTTAATGATTCGTTTTTCCACCACTTCCATTGTGTTCATGTATAAGTGTATGATGTGTTGCATTACATTGCAGGCACCGATATTTTCATGGGCAATAATGACACATATGTCTTGTTCTTAAACAATGAAAGCACAACCTTGCAGTTCTGGCTACCACATATCTCTGTAGCCCAATCATTTGTAGAAATTCTGCGCTATGTGCCAGCAAATACTTACCTTGGCAGTGCACACATTGTCTAATAATTGTATGATAGCCTTTCACAAAATTCTTTGGTTGGATAAGTGTTCCAAACTTTTTCTCCCCATTGGATTTATCGGTCATACTATTCGAATTTTCTAAGAAATTGACCAGCTCCTCAAACTTTGGAATATGTTCTGAACTAATCGTTGACAGCTCCCAGGCTAAATGCGTTCTAGTGTCTAGTTTGTGCAGGACAATAAAAACCAACCACTCATCTTAATGTTGTACGGGATGGCCCAATTGTTCTAACGTACGTAAAGCTGACGTAATGGTGTCACATAGTAATCGAAAGCTTTTTAGTGAGCATTCAGACATCGCTGTTACGTTAACAATTTTCTTCAAATACGCGTTAAAGATTATCCTCTTGTTTCATACTTGTGGACGAGTAAATTCAATGCTGCTGCCCAATGTGCGTCTGTCGTAGTAATGTTGTCTAGCGTGTGTTGAGTTACTAACACTAACGCATATTGTAAGTATTGCAGTTTCTGCGTATTAGATAATGCAAAGACGATTGACATGAATAAATCCTTAAACGCGTACCAATGCAAATAGTTACCATCAAATAACCGAATTTTAATACGAGGCAGATTAAACGTTAATTCCATTCTTGTCACATTTCTAATTATAATTTCATTGGTATTTGAATGGTTTATAATTACAGTTTATAATTAACTATCGCACCGATTAGCTCTCCCAACGTTTCTGAATATATGATTTCGACTTCCATGTAGTTGTCTTCGCTGACTAACGCTACCACTGAGTCACTCGTTTTTTCAATCTTTGCACCGTCATGACTGTAAGCCAACAAATCTTCTCAAGCTTCTTTGTACTGTGTCCGACAACTTTCTAAGAGATTCTTCCCTGTTTTTCAGCATGCTAATTTTCTTGCAATTCTGTCCATTTTCCGATTATATATGAATCAAATGCGACTATTATATGCAAGGTAACCAGAAGTGCCCAGAAGGCTTTTCTAATCTAAAGCAAACAATTGTGCCTAGCGGCTATAGAATGTAACCAGTCGTGTCCGTCGGCTTTTATAGATAGTTCCCAATTGTGCCCAGCGGCTTTTATATACTTTGAAAAATAAAAAAAAAAACTTTATTCATTTACTTCAATAACAAGTGAAAACAATAAAATTTTACATAAAGAGGTTTTCGAACAGAAGTGAAACAACAACAAAAATTTATTTTTTAAATTATTTTAATTAATTGATTTTTTGGCTGACCATACAGCTGTTTCGAGTATTGCCAAATACCCTTCATCAGTGGTCTTGGAAATAATTCTTGTATTTAATTATTCGTAAATAATTATTTTTGAGACTGCAAGTACCAGGAATCGAACTCGGGTCCTGCCAAATATGAAGCTCAGAATCAGCGCACCTTAACCAACTGATTCAAAGCCGTACTTGACTTTTTTGTTCGCATATTTTTGCTGGAGTTTTGTTACTTTTGCTATGAAAGTTTTTATTAACAATTTTACTTGCTGTATTTATATATTAGAACGAAATCATAAACCAGCTGTAGAATAATTGAATTAATTAATTAATTATATTTTTTATTTTTAAGTGTTCAATTTCAAAACTATTCTATTCGTAGAGGCATTATTTGTTGCATGATTTGTTCTTTCTTATGTATAGAACCTAATCTAGGAACGTAATGCTGAGAAAGTCATGCTAATGTTACTCCACTAGTCGCACGGGCGAGAACCAATATTTATTGGCGAGAACCATATTTTTGTGAATAAGTTGTAATTTAACGTCAAATTTTCCAGACGAAAGTGACTATTATAATATTATAATAGTCATTATAATATTTTACTTAATAAACACATGAAAATAAAAGAAAACTGCCACGCCATGAAAATCCGATCAATCACCACGCTTGCGCACGAAAGAAAGAAAACAAAACTTGCTAACAAAGAAAAAGGAACTCACACATAGTGGTTGTCAGATTGATGTCATTTAAGAGTAGGGTATAACTTTGCTTAACTTGGCGCTCAAAAAAATCACTCCGTCACTTTTTGTGTTTTCTAAGTGAAAAACATAAAAAGTGATAATAAACTTATTACAAATAATCGAGACAGTAACTTTTAAACAAAATTTATAAAAAAAAAATAATAACCGATAAAAATAAAATATTATATTTATTTCTTTTGTAGAAAAAGTAAATTTTGACTTTGTTTTGGAATTTGTTTACTTTTCTCTAAATCACACGCCCTTGAAAACAACTGATAGAGACAGCAAATAAAGCTTCAAAGCTCCAAACAAATTTACAAGAAAAGTGTTGCAAAAGAGTCTTGAATTTGTATAATTATGTAGTTATAAAAACAAACTTATGCTAAATAAATAAAATAAATAAATAAAATAAATAAATAATTAAATAAAAATAAATAAATACGCGAAAAGACTCTTAAAATATTGATTAATAAATTCTTAAGTCAAATTAAAATTTTTATTATTTATATATTTAGGAAACCTTTTTCGTGCAATTTAAAATAGAACTTTGAGGATTCATAATTAAAAACGTATGTAAAGTTTCTTTCTCTAGAAAAGAGAGCGATTGTTATGAATGCCTGCGTGAAAAGAAAAAAATTAGCTTAACAAGAATTAAATGTACAGACATGACATTATTTCGATTTACTCGCGACGTCTAGTACCACTCCGCGCTGCTTGTGGTTGTTTTTTTCTTGTCTCCGCCTTGTCTTCTTTAGTTTAAAAAAAAATAATTTTTTTCTTTTGTTTTCATTTATTTCATTTATTTTTACTATATAAACTATCACTATATTTACTATTTATTAATTAACTATGAATTTTAAAAGAAAAAAAGGAACAAATTCTTTAATTTACATATGCATTGCTCGTACATGATAAAAGTAAAATATAAAAAAGAAAAAAAAAGAAAAAAGATTTATACATTTTTTTGTATGGTCTGGAGCTGCAGCGAAAGCTTAAGCAAATTAGAAATTAAGAATAACAATGCTGCCAAAGCCAAGCTTAAAAATGAGGGAAATGCAGTTTACATAAAAGCGGGTAATATAAGTATTGTAGAAATTTTGAAATGTAAAATGAAAAAAAAAAAGATAAAGAAAGGGTAAACCGTGGGAGGTCAAAAAACGGCCTCCAGAATTGTGCGAGATTTGGTAATGAACGGAATAATGACGAAAAAATAGGAGATATAAAAAGGGTAGTGCGCGGTTGAGGAGGGCTTTTTTTTCCACAGTTTTTTTGAAGTGATGACGTTTCTTTTCTAAACTGAACTGAAAATTATTAAAATTTAAGTTAAAGTTTTAAGCATTAATTTGTGAAAAACTATTTTTATTTAAATTACAAATGAAAAAATTAAAAAAAAAGGGAAAGAAAAAGTGTTAACTGAAATAAAAAGTTTATGAAGAACTGTTTTTTTTTAAACTTCATTTTATTATATACAATCTATTCTATGCATGAATAATAAGTACTACTTATGGCAATAATAATATATGATTGGCATGTGCGGGACTACACAGTGGTAATTACCGCGTTATGAAGAATTACAATTTCTAGAATCTACTCGGCAAATCAGAAGCGTATTAATCTACGAATGTCAAAAGTATCCCTCGTTAGGCCTGCGGCAAGGGGGTTAGGGTGAACTACCAGTCGTGAGTGATAGTTGCTGCTTATCTGCTGTATTGACTCGTACACTATAGAGATGGCAAGATCGTTATGTAGGACGTTATTCGGAATAACACATGGGGCGTCGGCGCAGATACGTAATATTTTTGATTGAAACCTCTGAATCATATCTAGATTTGACTTCGCTGCTTTACCCCAGATGGGTATACCGTATGTCCAGATTGGCTTTAAGACGACCTTGTATAAAAGCATTTTATTTTGTAGCGATAATTTGGATTTGGGATTAAGTAGCCAGTAAAGTGAGCGTAGCTTAAGTCCTAACTGCTTCCGTTTTGTAAA